TCCCAAATAACTGAGGATCCATCAAGAGTTTTCGCCTCTTGGAACCAATCTGTTCATTTATGTCAGTGGACTGGAGTAAAATGTGGCCTGACACAGGAAAGGGTCATCAGTTTGAATCTAAAAGGGCTGAGTCTGGCAGGTACAATCTCAGAAATCTTTCTTTGCTCAATTCTCTTGACCTGGCAGAAAATTCATTCCATGACGAAATTCCTCAACAACTCAGCAGGCTGTCAAGGCATCAAAACCTGAATTTGAGTTTTAACTATCTAACAGGGGAAATTCCAGTTAATCTATCACATTGTGTTAACCTCAAGAGCCTTGTGCTGGACCACAACACTCTTGTGGGACAGATTCCTTACCAAGTTGGATCTTTAACAAAGTTAGTGAGATTGTATCTCAGAAATAACAACCTGACAGGAATCTTTCCACTATCTATTGGAAATCTTACATCTTTAGAAGAGTTGTATTTATCGTACAACAGTCTAGAGGGAGAAGTCTCAGCTTCTTTAGCTCGATTGACCAAGTTGAGACTGCTTGGATTGTCAGTAAATAGCTTCTCCAGGGAGTTCCCTCCTTCGTTGTACAATTTGTCATCCCTGGAATTAATAGCACTTTCCTTCAACCACTTTTCTGGTAATCTCAGATCCGATTTAGGCCACTACTTCCCTAATCTCCAAAGACTTTACTTGGGGAACTGTCAATTCCATGGTTCCATACCATCCTCTTTGGCCAATGCTTCAAAATTGCTACAGCTTGATTTCCCTGTAAACAAATTCACTGGAAATATACCAAAGGGTTTTGATAACTTGCGGAATTTGTTGTGGTTCAATGTTGGGAGTAACCATCTTGGATACGGTAAGAATGACGACCTTGACTTTGTAAATTCTCTTACCAACTGCAGCAGTCTACAAATGCTCCATTTTGGAGACAACCAGTTTGTAGGTACATTACCTCATTCAACAGTCAACCTTTCTAGTCAGTTACAACGCCTACTCTTCTTCGGGAACAGAATTGGTGGAAGCATACCCAGAGAGATCTCAAACCTGGTGAATTTGAATCTACTCGACATGAGCAACAATAATCTTACAGGTAGCATTCCAGATTCTATTGGAAGACTTGCAAACTTGGGAATTCTTGACTTGCGTAACAACCTCTTGACAGGGGTAATCCCTTCTTCAATAGGCAACCTCACTGAACTCGTCTATCTTTATTTAGGATTTAACAGGTTAGAGGGTAACATACCTTTAAGGCTTTAACCTTGGGAAATTGTAACCAACTTCTAAGATTGGACATTTCTGAAAACAACCTGACTGGATCTATACCACAACAACTTATTGCTCTCTCATCCCTCACAAAAGTTTATGCATATTATAACTCTTTGACTGGCACGTTACCAGTGCATATTGGGAACTGGAGTCATCTTACTTATCTAGATTTTTCTTTCAACAATTTTTCGGGTATGATTCCACGATCTCTGGGAAAATGCTTGTCCCTGGGGGAGATCCATATGAAGGGGAACTCCCTCCTAGGGACCATTCCCGATTTAGAAGATTTGCAGGATCTCCAGTCCTTGGATCTTTCCCTCAATAACCTATCAGGGCCAATCCCTCACTTCATTGCAAATCTTACTTCCTTACTCTACTTAAACTTATCTTTTAACAATCTAGAGGGTGAGGTTCCTATCACCGGAATATTTTCAAATTTGAGTACAGATGGATTTGTCGGGTAATTCCAAGCTTTGTGGTGGGATTCAAGAGCTACATTTACGACCCTGTGTTTATCAAGAAACTCAGAAGACACAGAAGAAGGATGTACTTTCCCTCAAGTTAATTTTGACAATTGTTTTTGCTGCTTCATTTTCAATCCTGGCATTGTTAATAGTTTTCCTTTGTTGGAGAAGAAATTTGAAAGATCAACCAGAACCAGAAGTTAGGTCAGAATCTGCACGTTTCTACCCCAATATTTCTTATGAAGAGCTCCGCATTGCAACTGTTGGATTTTCTTCTGAAAATCTTGTTGGCTCTGGCAGTTCCGGAACTGCTTACAAGGGAACTTTTGCCTCTAATGGAATGGTCGTTGCTGTCAAGGTACTCAATCTCCTGCATCAAGGTGCTTCAAAAAGCTTCATAGCAGAATGCCAAGCATTGAAAAACATTAGGCACCGGAACCTTGTCAAGGTCATCAGCGCATGCTCAAGTTCTGATTTCAAGGGAAATGAGTTTAAAGCTTTAGTCTTTCGGTTCATGCCAAAAGGGAACTTGGATGAATGGCTCCATCCGGAAAGGGAGATACAGAAGAGTAGTTTGACCATACTTCAGAGAATGAATATCATAATTGATGTGGCCTCTGCACTTCATTATCTTCACCATCAGTGCCAAACACCCATGATTCACTGTGATATCAAACCACAGAACATTCTTCTTGATGAAGATCTAACAGCTCATCTGGGCGATTATGGTTTGGTGAGACTCGTTCCTGGATTCAGTAATGGATCGGAACTACATCAGTTTAGCTCACTTGGAGTTATGGGAACCATTGGCTATGCAGCTCCAGGTAAAGTTTCTAGGTGAACAGAAACTGTGAGTACACCATATGATTTCTTCTAACAATAGTGGTTTATTTATAAGCTGAATTTGCTTGTTGCAGAATACGGCATGGGTAGTAAGGTTTCCATTTTAGGAGATGTGTACAGTTTTGGGATTCTCATATTGGAGATATTCACTGGAAGAAGACCCACAGACACTTTGTTTCAAGCAAGCTCTAGTCGCCACCACTTTGTGGAAACAGCATTGCCTGAGAAAGTTATGGAGATTCTAGAAAAAAAAGCTTTTCATGGTGAGATGACAAGTATATCAACCAATGGAGAAGAATACTGGGGGAACATCAAGAAAGAACAGATGGAATGCTTGGTTGGCATACTTGAGATTGGTGTTGCATGTTCAGCTGAATCCCCAAGAGACAGATTGACCATGAGACAAGTTTACAGTAAGTTGACACTAATAAGAGAAAAATTTCTAGGAGCAGAAGATGTATGAAGAGGAGATTGAGGCCACGGGCTACAAGTGAAAGCATTGGATCTGATCTAAGATGTTTTACTAGTCTTACATTCTGTCTATTTGGTAAGAAAACATTGTAGTCTTTCTAAAACTTTGAAGTCGCTGTAGTATTTTCAGCATGCAGAAGAACTACGGTAGTATCAAATTTCTTCTTACTTAATGGGTTTAGTTTAGGAACATCAGATGTTAGTTCTTAACTTCTACATTAGATGCATCTAATAAACCACGGAAAGGTAGATACAGCCGAAGTTGATAAAATTAGGTAACTGAGCCAGAACTCAGCATCTACAGAAAGCTTGATTCAATCATTGTATTGCTTATTGATATTCCTACAAACATTGAAAAAATCAAATCTCTGTTTAGTTAACAATTCCCTCATTAACAAGAGACTGAAGATAAGCAAATTGACTAATGCTGTGTCAAAGAAAATTTTACTTATTGAGAGGGGAGAATTAGGCAGACATCCTTTGAGGTTTGAATTATCGAACGCAACAATACTCAAAGTGATTGTAATCAAATATTAACTACTCTCCGAAATACGATTCTATTGATACAGGCAATAAAAACTGGGGCTAAAAACACTAATGTCAAGTTATAAGTAAGCCCTAGATCACAGAAAACTGAGAATCATATTGAAATTACAAGGATTAACACACAGTACCTAAAAAGCATAGGAATTCATTTACAGTAACGGTCTGCTTTCTTCTTGACCCGGTCATCAAGGGCATCTTCTACGGACTTGGCTTTAGCATTCGGGTCGTACCCGAATTTCTTGGCTTCAACAGGGAACAAATCATCGTATTTCCTCCGCTTAGCGGCGTCAATCGTAAACATATCCTCAGGAGCGTCAGCTTGTTGCTCAGTAGCGGCAAGGGCGGCGTCACCGGTTAAAGGCTCATCGGAAACGACGTCTTCGGCAGACTTGTTCTTCTTTTTCTTCTTCTTCTTATCGATTGCTTTGCTGCGGCTGGCTACTGCGCCTCCTTTGAACATCAACCGACCTCCGGTCACTCTCTCGTATGGGTCCGACATGGATCCTTGCCTTCGATGCTTTGTTCTCTGTTTTATCGCAGCTACGAGCTTGAAGGGGATCTCTAAAGGGTTAATTCCTGCTGATTTTCCTAACTTCACAAGTAATAAGGTTTTGTAACACAAACTTTGAAAAAGGGAATATATTTAATAACTAAAGTTAGCTCAGTTTGTATAGAATTTTGATTTGTTTAGATATCAATTGAAAAAAATTATTATACATTTAATAATTATGACTTGTAATATTTTTATGAAGTTTTGTGAATTTGTTTTCAATTTTTATTTTTTTTGAATTCACACTTAATTTGATCTTTATACTTGAATAGAGTTATATAAATTGAAACACGAAAAAGATAATATAATTCTAAAAATGTCAAATTAAAAATATTCATAATTGCTGCAATGTTTTGAACCTGTTTTTACTCAAACTATTTTTTTCACATTAAAGTAACTAAATTTTATATGCTATAACAATTTAAGTCATTGGATTTTATCTACTAATTTTATTTGCTATAACAATAAAGTCTCAAATATAATCTTCGTACTCCATATACATTTACATGAATTTAGACAAAATATACCAGTAATTTTTATTTTTTTTAAACTTTCAAATTATATATTTTCTAAAAAGTTAAAACTTATATATTATGATCATATGGAGATGTTTTTTAATAGTAAAGTAATAGGTGACTTTTACCTGGGATGATTTGTCATGTTTACAAAGGCTACCAATGTTATCCAAGTACTGTACATAAGCACACTTAAACATTGTTGATCACTTTTTGTGTTAATTAAATAGTACAACTAAATTTTCTGCTTACTACACTTTTTTTTCCTTGCCAACAAGTTGGGTTTCTGTCCTCTTGGTTCTTGAACTTCTAAAAATTTAATCTTTTTTGTTATCCTTGCACCACAATGGGAAGTTCAAGAGCTAAAAATCCATGGGGTGTAATTAGAATCTTCTCCAAGAGATTCTACTGTGGCTTCAGGTTTTTTTTTTTCTTTCTTTCTTGTTATTACTATTTTTTTCATTGTATTTTGGTTTATGGAACATGTCTAATTAAATGTTGATTATGAAATGTAGCGAACGAATTGTTGATGTTCCAGTAGATGCCCGCATTGTTAAAACGGGTTTTGACCCAGAAATCTCTCGTTTTAACTTCAAACTGAAGGATTTAGTAAGAGCAAATCAAATAGCAAAGGCACGTCAACTGTTTGATGAAATGCCTTACAGAAACACTAGCTCTGTGAACATGATGGTTTCGGGTTATGTGAAGTCTCGCAATCTTTTTCGTGCTAGGGAGTTATTTGATAGCATGTTCTCTCGTAATGAAGTTTCATGGACTATAATGATTGGTGGTTACTCTCAGAACAATCAGCCCAAAGAAGCTTTTAATCTTTACACTGAGATGTGTAGGTCGGGGGTTAAGCCGGATCATATCACCTTTGCAACTCTATTATCAGGTTTTGATGATACAACTACTTTAAAAGAAGTACTTCAGATTCATTCCCATATCATTAGATTTGGATTTAGTGCAAGTCTTATTGTTTTCAACAGTCTGGTAGATTCGTACTGCAAAACTTGCTGCCTCGATGTAGCGTCTCAGCTCTTCAGTGAAATGCCAACTAAAGATTCAGTAAGCTTCAATGTGATGATAACAGGGTACACAAAATACGGTTTTCGTGAAGTAGCGTTGAAACTTTTTATGCAAATGCGGAATATGGATTTTCAGCCTTCAGGTTTTACTTTTGCAGCAATGCTAGGTATGAGTGTTGGATCAGAGGATGTTATTTTTGGCCAACAAATTCATGGACTTGCCATCAAGACAAGCTATGTCTGGGACATATTTGTTGCAAATGCATTGCTTGATTTCTACTCTAAGCATGACTATATAGATTTAGCAAAGAATCTCTTTGATGAGATGCCCGAGTTAGATGGTGTTTCGTATAACATAATTATCACAGGTTATGCATGGAATGGGCAGTATGAGAAATCGTTTGATCTCTTCAAAAGGCTACAAGGTACATCATTTGACAGAAAGAATTTTCCGTTTGCCACGATGTTGAGTGTAGCTGCGATAGAACTAAATTTATCAATGGGAAGACAAACCCATGCACAGGCAGTGGTGACAACAGCTGTTTCAGAAGTACAAGTAGGAAATGCCCTTGTTGACATGTATGCAAAGTGTGAAAAATTTGAGGATGCCAACAGAATATTTGCAAATCTGGCCTACAGAAATTCTGTTCCATGGACAGCCATAATCTCAATATATGTTCAGAAGGGTTTTCATGAGGAGGCACTGAAAATGTTCAAGGAGATGAATAGAGAAAATGTTCACGGTGACCAGGCAACTTTTGCTAGCACTTTAAAAGCTTCAGCTAATTTGGCTTCAGTTTCTCTTGGGAAGCAATTACACTCATCTGTGATCAGATTGGGATTGTTGTCTAGTGTTTTTTCTGGCAGTGTTCTTGTAGACATGTATGCAAATTGTGGGTCCATGAAAGATGCAATTGAAGTTTTCAAAGAGATGCCTGATAGGAATATAGTATGTTGGAATGCACTGATTTCGGCATATGCTCAGAATGGTGATGCTGAGGCCACATTTAGCTCCTTCGCGGATATGATTGAATCAGGTCTCTACCCTGATTCTGTTAGTTTCCTCAGTGTCCTAACTGCCTGCAGCCACCGTGGGCTTGTTGAAAAGGCATTATGGTATTTTAATTCCATGACTCAAGTATATAAACTTGATCCAAGGAGAAAACATTATGCAACGATGATTGACGTGTTATGTAGAAGTGGACGATTCAATGAAGCAGAGAATCTGATTTCTGAAATGCCATTTGAACCGGATGAGGTCATGTGGTCCTCAGTTTTAAACTCATGCAGAATTCATAAGAATCAAGACCTTGCCAAAAAGGCTGCAGACCAACTTTTCAAGATGGATGCTCTTAGAGATGCCGCTGCTTATGTCAACATGTCTAACATCTATGCAGAAGCAGGCAAGTGGGAAAATGCGGCAAAAGTCAAGAAGGCTATGAGGGAACGGGGAGTTAAAAAGGTCACTGCCTATAGCTGGGTTGAGATTGACCACAGAGTTCATGTATTCACAGCAAACGATAGGACCCATCCACAAACTGAGCAGATTAGAAGAAAAATTAACTCATTGGTTGAGCTAATGGACAAGGAAGGATACAAGCCTGATACAAGTTGTACCCTTCAAAATGTGGATGAAGAAATGAAAATAGAATCACTCAAATATCACAGTGAGAGGTTGTCCATTGCGTTTGCATTGATTAATACTCCAGAAGGATCACCCATTATCATTATGAAAAACTTGCGAGCTTGTGTGGATTGTCATGCTGCCATTAAAGTTATCTCAAAAATTGTTGGAAGGGAGATCACCATGCGAGATTCAAGTAGGTTCCATCACTTTAGAGATGGATCATGTTCATGTGGGGATTACTGGTGAGATATGGATGGATGATTTTCAGATCATTTCATTCGGTTTGTGCTTTCCATAGTCTATAACCGGAAGTCATAAACATTTGGGGACTTCAGCAATTTATTCCTTGGATGATGATGCTAATCAAAATTTACTTTAAGGGATGGGCGTAGCCTAATTGCAGCTCTGATCCAAAGCTTGTGGTCGTGAACTGTTGCAATTATGGTCTCTCTAAGTTGGGCTTTTGAACTTCTGTAATGAAATACATGAAGAACCAAGTTCTACTTTTTCTTGAAGAACATTCCATCTCTTTTCAAGAGCTCACTGGTTTTCTCCCTAAACCACAAATTATTCTTTCAACAATAAGAACAGGATTTCTGCTTGGAGATGAAGGTGTTCTGGGGAATACAAACATGAATTGCCAAGTCTACATCATTCTCATCTCCAAGAGGGAGCTTGTTGGAAGAGCCTGATTCTAAAAGAGAAGCTGGCAAAGAATATATAATGTATATTATTACCATTTTTTGTTCATCAAAGACGTCATAAGAGGTGGTCAGTAGACACCTATATTTTATGCAGGTAACTCACTAATTGTTTACTCCCTCATTTCTATCATTTGACGAGAGTTGACAACAGTAAGATGTATCTATTCTAGTTTATATGTAGTAGACAACAAACTTCTTGTCTAAGGGTTCCAATGTTCGAGTAATTGAAAAGCTACCATTTAATCTGCCTGGAAATTAGGCTTCCTTTCTCTCTTTCTTTTTTTACCCCAAAAGAGGAAAGATAACAAGATTGGTTGACAATTACCTTACCTGCTGTCCCTATTTGGTCTTTAAAGGCAAATTGTTTTTTGGATGCATCTGGCTTGTCTGCGAACTTATGCTGTTATGCCTATAGTGACATGTATGCTATGTTTAACTATGTCATTGTTCTCCTTCCTGCATGGAGAGTTTTCTAAATAACTTGTACGATGGTTCTAATCAGATTTTTATTAATCCACCACTTCAGGTGTTATTACAAGTCATTGTAGGTCCTGTTTCCTGGATTTGTCGTAAAAAGTAGGTTGTTCTTTGGTTCTTTTTTCTTTTTCTGCTTAAACTCCTTTTTGTGCAGTACTTTATGGATCAAAGAAAGATGCCCTTGATTATGTTAAATGGGTGAAGGATGACAACCTTTTTCATTTGCTGGTCCAGAGATTGTTGTCATCATGGGGGCATACTTTTCCAAGATTGAAGCTGCAGTACAAGCCTCCTTTTAGCGTCAGGTCACACAATATGATTCACGTTGTCCCTGCATGTTGTAGTTGGTGTTTTCTGCATTGCCGGCTACTTCAGGGATAGTTACTTGAAAGGATCCCTTTTCTTCAGGGCGCGGATGTGTTAAAGAACTTCATTCTCAATTTTTAACTCAAGAGACTGATTACTCTTAAGCTTTTGCCAAAGGACTTCATGGATAGTTACTTAAACGGCTGATTACTGTCAGTCTGTTTGCCATAGTAGCCTTTTATGCCCAGGATATGCCTTCTTCTACATCGACTTCAAACGGATAGAATTGGGTGTTTTTACAAGTCATCATTACAAGAGTGAGCTGACTGTGGCAAAATCACCTTGTATTGTTGGTTCTTTACTTCTCCATATAACTTGATACTTTGTCCTAGAGATCACCTTGTTTGATTTTCCCTCTTAGTTTTGACCAGTTATAGAACGCTCACAATTCGGTCAAAAAGCAACCTCTACTTGCTTCTGGTTTTGATCTGCTAGTATCTGATAAGATTCCTCAGAGTGTTTCATCCATGCAATTCTATATCTCGTAATTTTATTAGTTTCATTCTGTTTAGTTCTTTGCCAGATGCATCCTTCCATTTGTATCATTTTTGGAGCTTGAACAGTGGCTACTAGCATTACTCTCCAGGTGGTGGAGGAGGGATGTCTACTGTCTACTAATCTCAACTGTGCCTGGTACATACGGCCCTGCAGCTTAACTCATTCCCTCTTCCTATGGACAGTGTGTAGCCGCCAGGGATTAACTCTAGTATGTGTAACACGAGGTATATTGATTGGGTGAGTCATATGAAGAGATTGCAGATCTATTCAAATGTCGCAGAATTCCAGATTTTTGTTTTGACTTAGCACTTATCACCATGATATATTTGATAGTTAACCTGAATTTTCTATAGCAAAGAGTTCAAAGATGATTTCATCTTCTCACCCTGCAATCAGTACTTTCCATGACTATGTTAAGGATAGAGGTATCCTGTCATCTTCAAATCCTGGATCCACCTTTACTTGGACCTGTAATGTGCTTGCCCATTTGACTTTGGCTATTCTTGAAGATACTTCATCTAGTTTCTCACTTTCAACTAATGGAATTACTCATTGCAATTCAACCGATTTGAAATCCCCCTAAATTTTGTATATGTAATATAATGAACAAGTTACGGAGTGCTTATTATCCTACTACTCTTCTGGGGATTTGTATTGCAGGTTGGAATAATCTATTCTTGTTTATTCCCTTCTTCATTCAGTCACAAAATCATAGTGCGTTTTCTGGTACTTTAGTGGATGGGTTGTTGCCATACATAACTTTTGGCAGTATATATACTGTATGGTTTGCTTCACTCTACTACCTAATAACTAACTTCCCACTTGTTCCTCCCTCCCATAATGTCTTCTAATAAATACTGTCATTGAAGTTTCCAATGTAGAATATTTACTATAAAAACTTGTAGTTAGTGCCTTAGTGGAGTGCAGCAAAGAATCAGTTCATTTGGTAAAGGAAGAATATAAATAGTAAACAAGAGAAGAAAAAGGCTGCCTTGCTGACAAACAGTCCACTGTACCATGGCTGCCACTAAAACATTTTCTCTTACTTTTTGTACTCCATGATACTAATATAAAAAATATAAAGTCTAGTAGTACTATGTTAATACAACTTCTATATAAATAAAACTAGAGTGGCTCCAAGTTCTTGATTGGCGCTTTTCCTAACAGACCGATAGACTTGAACCTTTTTCTTCTGGACTCTGAAATTAATCATTTCAAGTTCCAGACAGCAATGTCATCCTTTGTGATTGTCTTTTTGATCCTGTCTATGCTACTAAACACAGGGGTTGGTGTCAACTTCACCGATGTTTTCGAGTCCAGCTGGGCACCAGACCATATTGCTGTTGTAGGAGACCAAGTTACTCTCTCCCTTGACAGTGCTTCTGGTAAGACTTCATTAATTCACTTCATATCTTATATTTTTGCCTATTCAAGGCAATATAATTACATAGCCATTTGATTAATTATGTTCATATTCACAAAGGCTGCGGATTTGAGTCGAAGTTCAAATATTTGTTTGGGAAAGCCAGCGCACAGATCAAACTAGTTGAAGGAGATTCAGCTGGAACAGTTATTGCATTTTATGTACGTGACAAAAACCACGTCAAATAATTATCAAGATCAATATATTGTTTCTTCAAACTATAACTTATGGCCTAATGCTACTAATTGCTGGAAATATGTGGTTTGTAGATGTCATCAGAAGGAGCTAATCACGATGAACTGGACTTTGAATTTCTTGGGAATGTTTCAGGGGAACCATACCTAGTACAAACAAATGTCTACGTGAATGGCACCGGAGATCGAGAGCAGAGGCACGGTTTGTGGTTCGACCCAACAGTGGACTTCCACACTTACTCTTTCTTTTGGAATCATCATTCTATCATGTAAGTAATTCTTACTTCAGCCATATCTCTAAATATGTTTGAGCTTTCCATGAAACATGTAGAGGTGCAACTCCGTAGGACCGAGAGTGTTACTATTTTAGAATTTTATATTGTCAGTGTATATAAGTTAAATCCACGCTAACAATGACGAATTTTACTCGACACATGAATTTTTCGCAGCTTTTCAGTTGATGATATTCCAATTAGAGTGTTCAAAAACAAGGAGAAGAAAGGCGTTCCATACCCGAAAAATCAAGGCATGGGAATCTATGGATCATTGTGGAATGCAGATGACTGGGCTACACAAGGAGGGAGAGTGAAGACAAACTGGAGCCACTCTCCATTTGTTACAACATTTCGATCATTCGAGATCGATGCTTGTGATTTGTCTGGTGAGGACACAATTGCTGCAGGTGCAAAATGTGGCAAGTTAGCACAATTTTTGTGGGATAAACCAGCCAAGAAGAGGCTAGAAAAGAGCAAAAAACGCCAATTCAAAATGGTTCAAAATAAGTACTTGGTGTATGATTATTGTAAGGATACTGCAAGATTCACTCAAATGCCTAGAGAGTGCTTGTACTAGAGAGACCAACACACTATTCTAGCAATGTCAATGTATCAATATGTTTCTATCTCGCAATATTGTAGCTTTTTAAGATGTTTATCCAATTTGCTAATAAAAAATTTTCTTGTTTGGCTTCTTATGTGACCCTCTTAACATTTAAGTCAGTTCTATGGTTAAAAAAAAAATCAAATGTGCTATGTGTTTGAAATTTTAATTCAAATTTAACCAATAATAATAACTATGTCTCAATCTTAAATGAGTTGAGATATTGACTTATGTGAATCTTTACTGACCATATTTTCCCATTTAAATTCAACTCATGTCATCATCCTATATAATATATCAAAATCTATGATGAAGTCAAAAAACTCTTAGAAAAGCAATAGGTTCAAAATCAATGTACTAGGCTACTAGCAAATGTCAAACCTGTCTCAATTTCTATGACTTATTATTTTTTTTAGTCAGTCCTAAAAAAAATAACATATTTTTATATTAAGTAATAATTTAACTTTAAAACATCAATTTTACCTTTAATGAAATGATTTATAGCCAATAAATTACTATCATTCATTTTAGACTACAAATTTAAAAGTCTTTATTTCTTTCTTAAACTCCATGCCAAATCAAACTACCTCACATAAAATGGGACAGAGGGAGTAACATCTTCACTACATATCACCGCATTTCTATGTGGAGGATATAAGTGGACAAGTAATTAGGGACGGAGGAATTAATAATAAGAAGTAAATAATTTGAAGAAGTTAGCCTTTCGAAAATTGGGGCTTAATAATTGGATGGCTCAAATTAGAACAGAAGAATATTCCATTATCCGGTACTCGCCTTAAACCGCTGCAGTCTCCGTCATCTCTCCGGCGAGCAATTTTTCTCAATGAAGAAAGCTAAAGAGTAAAGAAGAAATTGGAGAAAGAAGAAGTAATTCAAGTAAAACGATGAGTGCAATCCATTTGAGCACTCTCAGAAGCATTTCGCAGCAACCCTTTTCGCCATTCCTCCTCTTTCCACTTCCCAAATCCAAGCCCATTAACGATACAAGAATCAAAGCATCGTCAGTAAAAGAAGAAGAGGTAGAAAGGAAGATAGAAATTCGACTTTGTACAGAGAGGGCATGCAGGAAACAGGGATCCTTGGATACCCTTCAAGTTTTATCTGGAATTGCTCCTCCCTTTGTAGCGGTTAATTCCTGTGGATGTCTTGGCCGTTGCGGGGCAGGACCTAACGTCGTCGTTTTACCTGGTGCTGTATATGTCAAGCACGTTGGTACTCCTACTCGAGCTGCTGAAACTATGGCGTTCGTCTGTCTTGGTAGGGATGACGTTGAAGGAGAGAGTCGGAGAAGTTTGGAGGCTTTAGCGTTGAGGAAAAGAGCTGAAGATGAGATGGGTAATGGTAATTTCTCTGAGGCTCATGGTTTGCTCTCACAGGTGTGTGGTTTCATACTTCGCTGAATTACACTGAATCAAGTTTTGCTGAAGATATTTCTTTGAAATGCTTCTGATGAATGCTATGGATCAAAAAGTTAAGAGAGTGTTGTGGTGAGGCTGACCATTGAGGTTTTTTCTACCGTCTTAACTGGATAGTGTGCCCTGGAATGAATATCAATGCATCAAATACTACTCTGATTAGTATAGTGAATGTGAGGCCATCCAAGTATTTCATGATAAAAATTAATAATGGTGAAGAAACTATTAAAAAAAAAAAGAGAATGCCATTGATTCACATAATTTTCAACATAGAGATGGCACGGTTTATCAGAAGCTTGAGGTTTAAAAGTTCGTAGCAACTTTCCCTTTCAAGTTAATTGAAGTGAAAAATTTCTAATCTCAGACGGATACTTATGACCTAAGTTGCACAGACTCTTCACTTTCGATGCTGCACCTGTGTTGGATTCTCCGAAAATACACTACTTTTGGAGAATTCGACACGCACCCGTTGACATTTTTGAAGAGTCCGAGCAACATAGCTTGTGACCAAGGCGGAAAAAAGGATATCCTTCAAAATTTGAAAAACCTAGACAAGATATGTATTATGAGGACATTTTTCCCCAAGACCTAGGGTTTCTAGCCAATCTATTATCTAGTCTGCTTCATGGAGGTTCTTTATTTCCGATGTCTGATGTAATTTTACTTCTTAAGCACCTTTCCTAGTTGTCTTGCGAATTGAAGTACTGAATTTTATATTGAGCGGGTGATAATGAGAGAATGATAATGCTAAGCTGTAGATACCAGTTCATTCACCAGACTCACAGATTTGTGTTTTGTCAGTACCAGAAAGAAATTGTAAATCTCGTTATACATATCTTTTTTGCTAGTGCATTAGGATTTCTTCCAGCGGAAATAATCTGTAGCTTTCTACAATCAACAGTGTGACCTAAGGGTCATTGAAGTTAACATGATGCTATAATCCTTTCACTATTTCTATGTTGCCATCGTTACTTATATTTTTAGCTTTACAGGTTTCGTTTAGATATGGCCTATTTGTTGTATCTAATTCAAGATTGGTGCCTAAGGGCACTGATGTTGCCATTTTTTTTGTGCAGGCTATTGCTTTAAAGCCGTTTGGAGGTGTTCATATTATGCTCAAAGACAGGTTTATTGTGTTTAAAATCTCTTTTCTATGGGAAATTGGGACCTTTTGTAATCAAATAAATCAGAAGGATACCCTAGATCTCTATGTTATTCACATGATTGTGTTGCAATTTTTAGTGGAAGCAACATCATTATTCTGTTCCTTAAGCGTCTGATCTGGTTTTAATTTTTTTTGGCTCTAGGCTTCCTTTCGGATTGATTTACTGAGTTTTCTTGAAGTCATTTGAAAAACTCTTGGATCACTTGATTTTGTACCAGTGTCCAAATTTATATATTTAATATTTTGTCACTAATGCCTTGTTGTCTAGATGATCAGAATGCATGTGAACAAGATGCTGAAATAAGTGTCTTCAATCAGGTCTGCTGCGGAGTTGGCAATGGGAAATTTGGCTGAGGCACTTGATGATGCTAAGGAGGCGTTGAATATTGCTCCCAATTACCCTGAAGTAATTTGATTATCTGTTACCTCTGCTAAAGTACACACGAAAAGCACATGTTGTGCTTAAACTTAAACTTGAAATGTTTGGTGCTTGAACTTAACTAACTCACATTAGTGTTTTAACCATGAGGTATCAATTCCTTCATTTCCATTTCAGTATATAGCAGATACAATGTATGATTGCATAATAATGTACTCTCTTTCTGCGATTATTGTAGGAACTAGGAAGTGAACATCAAATTACTATATCTACACCTAATCCCTAGTTGCAAATATTTATTAGTTTTAATTTTTACAGGGTTATATCTGCCAAGGTGATGTTTTGATGGCTCTGGACCATGTCGATGCTGCCGAGAAGTCATACTCCATGGCTTTAGAGTTAGATCCGTCCATCCGTCGCTCAAAATCCTTCAAGGTGCAGTTCATGTTTGTTGTAGTTCTAGAATAGAATTGGTTTAACTTTTGACATCTGTTCTGCACTGCAAATCCTATGGCTTTAAGCGTATTTTTTAAGGTTGGTTTCCTTAAATTTACTTTTGGCAACACCAAACAAGAATACACAATTTCGTAAGCAAATGAAGATGCTATTTTAGAAGTGACAGAAATCTGATATAGTTCATGCGGTACTAGTTTAAATACGGTTATAACATGGTAGAATTCTTTAGTCTAGCCTGTTGTGTCAATAATTAAATAAAGCCTCTTCTTCAATAGGTAATATCTTAATAACTGATAGTGTGTTATCAACAAGATAGGCTGGAAAAGCACATAAATTGCAAGATTGTAAAACTGCCACCAATATTGGAGGAACAAAATGATTTTAAGCTTTTATATTCCTTAGTAGAACTGAAATGATTTACCAAGTTATGAATTTGCTACAAGTTACTGGGAAAAATTTTAAGCTTTAAATATCTAACTAAAACTAAAAATCTCCACATGCCCATGAAAAGGTATCACAACTTTTTGTGATTGTGGCAGTACACTTCGTGTTTTTCTATATGTAGAGAGATCTGCCCATGCACACCACAATGCTAATGCATGTGGAGGCTTGTGTTTGTTGAAATGTTTCTAAGCCTTCCAAAATCCAAAGTGCATATTTTATGACAAGAAAGAATTATGGGCCTGAAATAATTGTCAGCTGAGTCCACGCACACAGGGGAGAACTATCTGTTCCTCGTAATATCTCTGTTTTTTTTTTCACAACTGATGTATTATCATCGTTAACCATTTCAGGCTCGGATTGCAAAGCTTAATGAGAAACTTGCTCTTGCAAATTCAGCATAAGTGACGAGTTTGTATGTTTGTACAAATTAGGATTACTGTCAACCTAATTTGCCTAAGGTATTTAAGTATTGCTGAGGTTGAACATGTTTCATATGCTGTGTTGTAGTTCATTGTCCAGTTTGACATTGTATATAGAATGATATCTGTAAACAGAAGTGACTCTACTGGCTGGTCAATGTTATATATGCAACAGAAGGCAATTTTTTCATCCTAAATCTTAGTTCATCTCCAGCTATGTTAACTTTAGCAATCTTGGAGGATCTTGCCCATCTATATCATAGAAACTATCTGTCATTAGGGCAGCAATCAAAGTTTTCTTCATATGTCATTCATATCCTGCTAAAAGGGTGGAGTAGAACATACAAAATACAAGAGTCAAGTCTCTCTCTCTCTCTGCCCAATTAACGGTATACTAGTAAAGTTATAATATCAATCTAGTAAACATTTAGATTGCCCATTCATCAGCAATAAACTGTGTTGAAATTAGGTCCACAAAAGAAGATATCAAACTTCTTGACCCTATCCCACAACTTAGGAACTTTCTTCTTAACTTCAGCATTAACATTTACTTTCTGTTCACCACCACCCTTTTTCAGATTTCCAAAACTAAAGCTCCTAGTAATCCCAGCAACAACATCTTCAGGAACTTTAAAGCAATATTTCATGTTAACTTCTCCTTTAACCTTCATTGATTTGGACCTACGCGTCTTCTCTTCTTCATGCTTCACAAGCTGATCATAATACTCTTTGTTCCTCTTCTCCAGCCCATATATTTGTCCTTGAAGATCCTCAATCTTTCGACTTAGCATGCAAACCCTATGATCCTCCCTCATCTTCAATATGCACCCCGCAAGCTCAGCAACCTTCCTCTTCATGAACAAAGATTCTGAAGACACCGCCTTGTTTTCCTCCATTAACGTAGCCACTTTGTATCCCAATCTAGCATTCTCATTTAACAGAATCAACCTCTCTGATTCCATTACATCCAGTAAACTCTTCTGCAACTCTATCTTCCTTGATGACTCATTGTTCTGTCTTTCCACTTGATTAAGCTCGTCTAGGACGAAATCATAGTCCACATTTCTGATCACCAAGTCAGCAACAATCATTTCAATATCAAATTTGTCTTGTGTTGAAGGTGGAAAGGAAGGCTGAAATGATAAAGAACTCTCAGCATCAGAATCAATGATCTCTCCACTATACTCTTCCTCATCACAATAACCATTTTCATTGTAACTTAATGGTGGAATTGGAGATGAATATCGACGATGATTATGGTTCTTGGCTAGTGCTTGGCAGTAGCGATCAGCTAAAGAGACATAGCTATTGTACAGTTCTTGTAGCAAGGCCATAAGCTGTGGTCGTTTCTGGTAATAGGCATCAGCGCGTTCCGCAAAACTGTCTGGACTGCCTTTTTCTGGGATTTTAAGAGCCACCTTGTTCATCTTCTCATCCAAATCTAATGAGAACAAAAACAACTCAAATTCAATAGAATTAAATAAATTTTAATGATTTGATTTTACTTGACAGTTGAATTTGAAATTTGAATTGCAAAAAGCACTGTTCTCATCTTTAGCCCATATCTTCCCCATGTGTAGATAGTGACAAATTTGGATGTACATGAAAATGAAATCACTAGTTTTGACTATTGTCATCCCTAGTTTCAAATCCATGCAACTATATATTTATAATCTATGTATACTGACTAGAAATTCTCCGTAATTAATGTTTTATTTCTTCGTAGAGGAAATTACTAATTAATCAATGGTAAAATAAGACTCCATTCTTGTCTACCAAATTCCTTCTAACTTGTTTTCCCTAAAGCTTAGACACAAATAATTTGGACAACTTGTTGATTATCATTGATTAATAATTCCTTAGCCTGGAAAAGAAAAAGAATATCACTACATGAGGTGAAATAGTTTCATTTTTTACATCTAAATTTATTCAAATATTTTATCTGGAATATTAATTAAAGCAAAAGAAAATGCACAGTAAAATTGTTAATAGGTATTTAAAGAAAATCAAAATGGAGTACTTAAAAAGAAATAATTCAAATTCACTCCATAAATTTTACGAGGTAATGTAACCCATAAATTCTTTTAAAATATTTATTTTAAGCCAAGATTAAAAGGGTAAAAAGACCACCATGTGAACTCTTCTATTTGTTTTTTGGTACGCTTATAAGTATGTTGTTAGAACATTCCATCAAAAATAAAGTCCAGTTCTTTAAAGTACATAAAACTAGATGTTATTTTTAATAGAACGTTCTAACAATTTGTGTGAAAAATTTCCTCAAGAGGTATATATTATCACAAGTTAAAAAGATCTTTATATAATCTTGTGAACCACCAAGCACATGATTTCATACATAGAATAAGTAAAAAACAAGATTTAAATTACATTGGATTCTAGTACCCAAAAAAGAAAAATGGTTGTTCTGAAATTAAAAGCTACTACTCTTAGGTACAGATAAAGTTTCAGAAAAGAAAATAAAAACAGAAACAGATTCTGTAAAGAAAGTAAAAATCATTTTCATTCTGCAACACGGCATCTAACAAAAAGTAAATATATGAGTCCCTCTATTTAGAATTCAAATTTTAAAAAAAACTTATAAAAAAAGGTTTTGTAAAGATTCTAAAGTATTTAGGTAGAAACTGCAAGAGACATAAATAAGAAAAGGACAGAGTTTTTTGAAAATAACTTTCTGGTTTTATCATATTATATTATAAAGAAAGTGACATTTCATAACAGTATACCCTTCCAATATAGAGGTGTAAACACAATACTCATTTTCATTTTCCTAGGGAAAGAAATGTTCACATCACCTAAGAATAATGGACCCCATACCCCCTCCCCCCACCACCAAACTACAACAATTAAACAAGACCATGATACAATTTTCATTTACTTACAATTTACAAATAAAATTTTGAAAATTTCAAAATTGGACATATTAGCTCGAACATCATGATCATAAAAAAAATCTTTAAAAAATGACTTCATTGTGAACCATGTTGTGGTGATCGATACTTTTTGCCTCCACTTGAATTTGAAACTAAAATGTAATGATTCTTAACGCATTTACTGACCTCTAAACCATTCCAGTTGAGTACACAAAAGTTTGGATCTTTTAAGTGAAGATGAATAAAGGGGCATATTTATATAAAACAAACTAATATTCCAAGAAAGTTTGTACACAATTAATAAAGAAGAGGTAAAAAGAGCATATATATATATGAATAATTTACCAGCAACGGTGCAAAGAAGCCAAGAGGGTCTACTGAAACTTCTCCTTTTTGTATAATTTGAAGAAGCCATTGAAGAAACTGGACTTAAAGCCTTTTTCTCTGTTTTCAGTTTTGCCTTCATTTCAACAGGCAAAATAGGGCCTACACTATTCAAAAAGGATTCCAAATCAGAAAATAATTTAATTTTCCTCTTTCATCAATTAATGACAAGCACATAGCACTACACTAAATGATCAAATTGAACTAACAAAGAACATAAGAAGCTCAAGAATATGTAAAGTCAAATTATCCTTTTAATTAATGTTTTGAAAGGGCATACAAAAAGAAAGAAAAAAACATATGACAAGTAAAACAGAGCAAACAAGTTAGGATATAAAAGCAGATAATGAGATTAAAAGATCATTTAAGCAACTTTAAAATATAAATACTATCATTAAATGCCACTATGATTTACACAATTTAATTACAAGCACATTCTCCTGCAACTTTTAATTTTCACTTTAACATCTTTAGAACATATGATCTGAGTTTGTGAGCAATGATAAAAGTTGAAACTAGGTGCCGATGTAGTATAGCGGTACCAGGTTCATCTGAATCCAGTACTTTTATAACATAAATCTACATGTAAAATTTCTTCAAAATTACGACAACTAGTAGATATGAACCCACATAACTTCAAAACTACAACAAGTATAATGCTAAAACCTTAATGATTGAACCCATAAAATTTCAATCATCAATCCACCTCCCCTTGAACCATGTAGTAAACACAATTTCAAGTGAGAAAAAAAAAAACAGAGATTTTGCTTCAAGAATTAGCTTATTCAAAGCATTCTGAAAACTATGAACCAGTTTTAAGCAAAAACTAACAGAGCAACAGAGAAAAAATTATTTTCAGTGGAGTAATGGAAACAGAGAAAGCTTACTGAACTTGAAATATTTGATCACTAAAATAAAACAGATAAAAAGAGATATATAGGTACCTCAAAGACTCAAACTAAGTTGTTGATGCTGCAGAAGAACTTTGGGGGGTTGATTTGCATGTTTAGGCGGAGTTGCAAATCCAAATAATTATAATTATAGAGAGTAAAAAGGTGGCTTCTTTTTAAAAGAGAAATGGTCTTTTGGGCTTTCTGTTTTTTTGGGTTTTGTGGGAGGGACATTTTCTTGGGTTGGGGACAAGGAAGTCAAATAGTTTCCTGCATATAAAAGCCCGCAAACTACGATTTGATTTTTGGCGAATCAGAAGCTGCCACGTATTGGAAGTCCGTATTTGTGTATTTAATGTATCTGCTGGGAACAGAGTTGATGGACAGGTCAATTGATCAAGTAGCTGTTTCTACAGACTACACAGCTTCTAGCCACAGCCCTATCTTTGAAAAACATTTTTTTTGGGTCTGCCATATAGTGTGAGGTGTTTGACAAATGCCAATTACATTTTCACTTTCTTTTTTTTTTGGTTTAGAATTTAGATGAATGAGGGATTGCACATTCGATTAATAGATAACTTCAAGTTGAATTCTAAAACTTTTAAGAATTTGAAATACAAAACTGCTCCAAATTACTCACAAAAGATTAACAACATCTCTAATTTGGCATTGGGTTATTCACACATAACGGAGACAGGAGTTTAAAAACAGTGGGTCAACCTCAAATATTTGGTTAAATAAAGGAGAAGATGCGGACAATGGCAGCAACATCTTTCTGTGCTATACATATAATGCGTCAGTGTAAGCAAGCAGTTATATGTCAAAAATTCTCTCGTCAATACTTTAGTAACGTCCTATAATTTTGTCATCCTTCGACAGCCAAATCCAATTTTTCATAGGAAAAAGGTTCAAATTGCTCTTAGGTTCACAAAGTAATCTACATTTACCCTCTATTTAAAGTTGAAATCAACTATACCTTCACGGTTTCACCGTTCAAAAAAGAAATTAGCACAAATTTGCCCTTACCTGCCAAGTGCCAACTCAGCTAACAAAATCATAATAAAAGGTCCAAAATTACCCCTATAATTTGCAAAATTGTGTAAAGTTGCACAGATACAACAAGTATGGACGCGCTGGAACGTATTCATGCGGCAAAAGAGTTTGTTCATTTTTGTATGTTGCATACAAGAATTAACACAAAAACCTATAGAAGGTTTGGACATGGGGAAACGGATTCCACTTAAAACACGTAGGCGTCATCAGGCTTCATGCAAAGAAGACAAGAACTCCATGCCACTTGATATGTCATTAGTTGCATGTCTAGAAGCAAAAGCCAAAAATTTCTATCACGTAATACAGGTTTCTACTTTGTTCCTTTGAATTCTGAAATAGGTCAAGAGAAGAGAAGAAAATTGGAGGCATGGCAACTTTATCGAGTGCCGAAGAGCTACTCCTGGGAATTTCCATATCGGCATTTAATTTCTTCCCCTTCTATAAGCCTCTCTACTGCATCTGAAGGAAGGCCAACCAATTCCAGCGTCTTCTCCCAGACTTTGTAAGAAGTTTCAATATTATGGGCTTCTTCAGAAGCATTTGTGGGACGACAATCGTGGGAAATGTATGCACACACTGGCCAGTCATCTGCTTTCAGCATTTCACAATACTCGGAAATTTGAGGATCTGTAGCTGCAAACAAGGTACTTCGAGAGCCTGCAGCAACCAACTAATTTGAGTAATATGCATGGAGATGATTAGATAAATAATTAGACTACACATGCCAAATAACCAAGAAACTAAATAAAACAAGAGGCCACTAGAAGTCTAGAACTTTCCCTGGGACCAGCATCTAAGGGATGCACCAAACAAGAATGCACGCATAGCTCAGTTTTAATCTCTTCTCACATTTGGTCTTTCTGATGAGATGCACTCTTGCCTTCTCCCTTTTTATACAACTTGTTTGTTTAACTAAAATTAACTTGCATGGTCCTTCAGGTTTCTTTTATATGCTCCTTCACTCATATTCCTTTTGGTCAAATTATTCTTAGTTGAGTTGTGTAGTTTTCTTACCTTATCTAAAAGTATATCAGTTCACAATTGCAGAAAATTATGAAATGATATTCTTACTTTCTGGAGTATAACATACCTTCTTCAGCATTAAATATAAAATAGGGTATTAGACGATAGCCAACTTGCAAAAACTTAGGAAGATCCCTCGCCTGCAATTTTATATGCAAACTTGTTAAAAAGTATCATATAAAGGAATGAAAAGAACAGAAACTGAAAAGAAGAAAGTCATATCCAAGAAATTTAGAACTCTAGCTCAAATAGGGTTTTCTCAAAAAAATTCTTAGGGGTAAAGGTACACCAAAGAAGTATGAAGGTGAAGTGATTAGGCAAGATATGGTAAATCTTCAACATACTGAGAACATGACCCTTGCTTGATAGGAGGGTGTAGAGGTTGAGAATTAAGGTAGAGGGTCAGTATGTACCCGGGCGTATTTCTTTTCCTTTCTCTGTGTATTAGTATTATTCTTGTTTTTCATTATGTTTCAATTTCTATTTCTACATATTGTACCTTTAGCCTCAATTATCTTATTATCTTGTTGTAATTTCTACTTGTTGCTTCTGCCTTTATCGTCCTTTGAGCCAAGGGTCTATCAAATTGTCTCTCTGTGTAAGGTCTGTGTACCCTTTACCCTCCCCGGATCCCACCTGGATTACATTGGGTTTGTTGTTACTCTTTAGGGATTGGAAGCTTATAACTCCCTCTGTCCCAATTTATGTGGTGTTTTTCGCTTTCTAAGATCTAATTAAACTAAGGGCCTGTTTGGATTGGCTTTTGGCTTATGACTTATACGCCAAAAGCCACAAGTTAGGATTTCTAACTTATGGTTTTTGGCTTATTTTTGTTATTTTGGCTTTAAAATAAGTGTTTATAAGCACTTTTTAACTTTACCCAAACACTTCAAAACTGCTAAAAAGTTATTTTGGCTTAAAAGCACCTAAAATAAGTCAATCCAAACGGGCACTAATCATTGAAACTAAATTAGATTAGATCAACTCAATATTTTAAAATTAAAATTAAAAGTTAGACATTCAAACACTATACGAGAAGTACTACAAGTTGCAATTCTTCTCATGTCAATATGATGAAAATGTATCTCAAGATGTTGGTCAAAATTTACTTAGTTTGAATCTCAAAAAGCGTAAAGTGCTACATAAATTGGGATAGAGGTCGCACCAGGCTTGCTTAGTATGGGTTATCTCTCCTATGTGGTTTGTGAGCTATTGCATAGGAGCGGGGGCTTTACCCTGTGCGCACCTAAAGGGTAGCGGCTGCGGGTTTCCCTTGTCATCAAAAAAAAAATTGGGATAGAGGAAGCAGCAGAATAAATAAAGATGGAGGCACAGGGGCACCACATGAAGCAACGACATCATCTTAATTGGCCTATTTTGGCATTTAAGTTGAGCATATTAGGGCTGATTAGTGAAAGGCCAAGTCAAGTTGGGATCAGAACCTCTTCTAGAGAATCCTTTAAAATGAAACCATGTGAGGCTCTTCAAGTCAAACAGATATATGTGCATAAATAATGGAAGCTGGAAGTTTTTCACATGGAATCGTTTACATGTGTATCCAACCCCACCGTATGCAAGTATCCGGGTTGACTACGACTACCTTTTTAATAATCTCTAGTGTATATCAAAGGATTTACACAATTAATTTGAAAAAAGGATCTGTACAAAGTACTGCACTCATATCATTCACGTTTGACATGGGTACATCAAGACAAGGTATGGCATTAACATTAAAGATGGTAACTAGAGAAACAAATAGTGAAGTTATCAAGAACTTACAACATTGGTTAGAACAATTCCAGGAGTATTACATACTACACTTATGCCAGATTCAGCAGGTAGTCTCTTATGAAGGATGCTACTGAACATAATCTGCACTTCCGAACCACAGTGGATTAGTCACTGGAGAGCAAAATCAACAAAACCGGATTTTATTAGAACTCAAATGGAAACACATACTACAAAGAAGGAATAAGAGCTTAGCATCTTAAGTTCAATTTTAACTATCATAAATCCTAGATGATTTTATGCTTGAAATGATTACTAATAAGAAGCTATATACAATGTTCTATACTTGATTTTTTGCTTTAATGTACCCTGCCTGGTTGTTTACTGCTGATGCAAAGGCTTCCCAATTTATTATTACATTGATGATTAGAAGTGCACAAAAATTAACAAAAAAAGAGTACTCCCTAGATGAACTTGCACATTTGTATTGGCGCAACTTTTGACAAGCAGATGAACATCTCCCTACAGAAATCAATTTTTGGATCAACCTGTGGAATTAAGAGAATACAGTAATAGCTCTTAATGGACATGCAACAAAGTATCGAAGATGTGCCTTTGGATGTTTGCATCCCAAATTACCAAAAAATAATGTCTTCTAGTTTCTGATAACTCTTTGATGGGTCCCATCCAACATATTCAAATTGGTTTTTTATCACTACTCAAGATGATCTTGACCAGACTCCAGAGCGAACCCACTTTTAAGCACTTAATGCCTAATAGATGTAATAACTATTGGAGTGATGATGGGCAATTAATCTCCACTAGTATTTCCATCAGCATAAATTGAGAGGAAATAGGAGAGCTTCTGAAGGGTAAGAGAAACTATTGGCTTTAGCGAAGCGGAAACAAAAGAATTGTTCAATAGGGAAGGGGCATATCATATGGAAAAACTCAGGTACCTAAGCTTTATTTACTAGGCAGAATGCAACCTTCCTAAATCGTGAAAAGAAAAAATGAAATATAATTAGGCAGCCACTTGTGTTAAGGTGTGCTGTGGTCGAACAGGATGTAGCATCTCAATTAATGCTAACACAACAAGCAAAAGACCATTAGCAAGTAATAGCTGACAACCTTTTAGAAAATACCTGAGCAAGCTTGCTGCCTCCATATCCCACTACACTGGTGTACTTTCTCTTTCCGGATACAACATTCATATCTTCTGGATCGACAAACCCAACATAGTGCATCTACACAGATGAAATAAACTATATTCCTGTCAGTAGCCGTAACATAAGCCATAAACTGACGTGGAGGCAATCACTTAAATTACAAGATAAATTTATTTCAAAGCAACTACATCCACCCCATTCATATCTTCTGGATCAACAAACCCAACATAGTGCATCTACACAGATGAAATAAACTATATTCCTGTCAGTAGCCGTAACATAAGCCATAAAGTGAAGTGGAGGCAATCACTTAAATTACAAGATAAATTTATTTCAAAGCAACTACATCCACCCCTCCTCAAACTTTGAGACTTGGTTTCGTTGGAGAATAGCCTCAATAACTACTGCTCCGTTCTTTTATTTCACTTTCAACACCAAATTTGGCATTATTATATAGGATTTATTATTAGCTACTGCGTTTGCTTCATCTTTTTTCATATCCGATATAATGATTTAGGTCATAAAACCAATAAGCAAGTAACTTAGACCATAAAATGAACCAACATGTTCAAGTAAAAGCAAGACTAAGACAAAGCCTGACCAAAGAGTTACCAACAATCAATATTTTAAATTCCAACTAAGAGAATAAAGAAAGGCAAGTTCCAACAAGCATACTAAGCAAAGAGAATCAAGAATGCAAATATGGATACATCATCTTTCAGGCATAGCATTATAGTCAAATTGAACGAGTAACTCAAACAATAATTATCACCACAAATAAATTGTCCGAAAGGAAAAGTTCAAGCTCACAAATTTTTAAGGGCTTTCGACAGTTTTTAAAACTTGAAGTCAAAATTACTCTATATCCACCACCTTGTTCCATTATGCAGCAAAGTCCAGCAAGTCCTAATAGTATGTATCTTTTTTTTCCTTATATATTATTAACACATACACCATAAATATTCAAGAGCAAAGATCTAGGACAGATGACTTCAATATCCCAACCGGTAAAATATCTTTTTTCTGCTCAGACCGTTCATGAGGAAGGCAAAGGCTTCCAAATCAAAAAGGCTGAAATCATGAAGTCTATGCTAAACCACCTCCATATTGCTGTATATCATTGCTTTGGAAAAGCCTGTTGTTTAAGCTATTTCAAATTAATGCATACTAGATAAAATGTTTTCACCAATGCTGAAACTTCAGTTTGCAACTCATTTTAAATTATCCATAATCATGGAAAATCAAGATCATTCAAAGCAGTAACTGAGTGCCGAAAGTGAGGAGACAAACAATTGAGTGTATAACATATCCATCTATAGCGGGGGCATATTGCTAAGACTTACAGTAGAGTTCACGTTAATAATTCGGCTTGGGGAACCTCTAATAAGTGATGGTAAAAGCAATATGGAAAGCATAGCCGGAGCTAGATGATTCACTTGCATGTGTTCCTCATACCCATCTTTTGAAAACCTCTGTGGTTCTGTAGAAAACGACACAATTCATTAGCCTAAGTTAGAAGGGCAGAAGCAAAGTCTCACAAGTCTCCAGATAAAAGAATGTGCACTCACTCAGCTATCAATCATTCAGTTTCCATCTAAAGGAGAAAACAGGTAAAAAGCTGTACCAATATTTCTATTGCAGACAATGTATTGTCCCTGTTAAAACTGCTAAATGCACCCCCACTAGCCAAGCATTAGTGCATTAGCATAGGAAAACCCTAATGCAAGCCAAAGCCAAAGCGTGAAGTCAGGCTAAGGCAATTAGATTAATACAGGTGACCAGCATACGATTTTCTGGTTACCTATTATCATGATTGGGAGTTCTGGTACACACATGAATGTGAACTGTGAACATGATAAACATCTAAAAATTTCTAGGAACATATAATTTCCAACCTGAAGGTGCATATTGAAATATTCAATCATAAACCTAAGTTGCTACAAATCTACAATAACCAATTCCAACAATACACAACACTAAGCTGTGTTTTGACCAAGACATGTAGACAAACCGTTGCAACTCGTCCTAGGATAGTAGAACATTTTACATTAATTTACACTATAAATCATGCTTGAACTGAACTCATAAGATGTAAGCATGACAAGGTGATTATCCAGTAAAAGACCCAGATGCTGCTCTACAGGCTCTTCTACCTCAGAATCAGACCTGAGACATCCTTCATTTTATCCATATCAAGCAAGTAACTAATTGAATAGAATTTCTCCTTCTGAACCTTTCTATAACATTCCATCCAAAGACTAGATAGCCGAAAAGAGATACCTTGCTGATGTTCTTTCTTTTGATCAAGGTATAAAATTTTATAAACAAAGGGCATTAAACACCCCCTAATAGAAGTAGTCTACCAAAAAGTAGAAATCTTACAAACTTTGCTGAAGTTCTTATTTGACATTAATCATAAATCATCTTTTCATATTTACCAGGTAGCCCTAGTGAATTCCATAACTTCCGAACTGTCTGAAGCTGGAAATGGACCATTTAAGATTCATTATTATCTCAAGTCTCAACTATTGAAAAATTATTAAGACTAACCATGTAGAATAAGAAAATCACTGATGTGTTTGGTGTTGCATGAATCTGACATATACACTAACTCTTTTTTTAATGATTTGACATATACACAAACTTAACACATATAAAGATTTAATGCCTTGATTTTCAGAGGATTAGTTACATGGAAACAGGTATTTCTATAAAGCTCCACATATACCATAAACTTCAAGACTAAGGAAACAAACAGAAATCTTGACCACATGATGAAAATGCTGAAACATGCAAACACGCTATGACATTTGACAGATTAGAATTGGATATCAAGTTAGAAAGGGCAAGCTTTTATTTTTTATCTTTAAGTAAGAAAGGCTCCATGATGTAGCTGAAACCTAATAGTTGTCTCAAGGTGTCACAGCTCAAGTATCACACAAGAAGAGTGCACATTTTGGTTACTGCCAGTTAATAAGAAGAAACTAATACCGCACTAACCTCCAATTGAAAATATGCCGGCATTATTGATGAGAACATGTACTGGAGCCATGCGGGCATTCCATGCTTCTGCGAATCGTGCAACAGAATCCAAAGAGAGAAGATCAAGCTCCATGACCTTGCAACAAATGTGAATTATATTCAATTAGGACAATATTTTTATGACATTGAACAAGAATCATTGACACCAACTTAAAAATTCTTGAAACTAATACATTTGTAATAAACTAGCATACAGCTGTACTACTTCCTAGCCATACCCATACTTGATACTACTATGAGATGAAAGATAATATACCTCAATGTTGAGTGGAAGGCCCTTGCCCGACCATTCTTCCTGCCATTTCCGTATTAACTCCTGTGCACGATTGGTGCTTCTGACAGCCATAACAACATGTGCTCCTGCTTCTGCCAACTGCCTGTCTAATGCAAAAGCAGAATTTTTGTACATTAGAGAAAATGGACTAGAAAACTTCTTCCAAATCCTTGTATCTGAAAGAGGAGTAAGAAGAGATTTTCAACAGAATAATGAAGATAACAATATAAGAAAGGGCACATAGAAAATCATATGGTGTAACATTATTTATCACGGAAGAATAACGTATCAGACCCTGATATGTGGATATCCTTAGGATAATCATGTTAGGTAACACATACTGTGGGATCAGGGATGTAGATTGGATGAGAAATTACTCGCAGCCAGATATGAAACAAAGATCTACTCCTTTTTTGCTTTGAGTTATCAAATATGAAACAAAAAGTTATTCGCAGAAGAGATAGAAAATTGAATGAGTCTTAGTAAAGCTAGACCACAATTAGATGGATCAACATTCAGTACTTTTCAGCTCAAAGGCTATCAGCCACCAAATAAGGATTAGAGAAAGCAAAAAAGGAAACACTGATAAGGGAAGAAGATAAATTCTGATTCAATTTTCTTTGTTTCAGGAGCACAAAAGTTATTCATATCTCCTCCTTTTACCTTAAATAGGTATTAGTATATGCTTGGATTCCATTCTTTCATTAGCAGTTGTCAAGTTCAAAGTTATTCTATTTATTTGTTATTTATAGATAATTGGCTAAATGCATTTCACAGCTTTCTCACAGCAATAGTAATAAAAGGTTGGACTGTTTACATGTTCCAGATTGTTTTCCAATGGGAATCAAGGCAAGAATAATTGTTTCATCAGGCACATAAATAGAGCAAGTTATTTCATCCAAAAGTTTAAATGTGATATCCCAAAAGGACATCTTTCTCAATAAGGAAATATCCAAACTTGACAGAAAATAGCATGTTACTGACGAAACATTAAATAACAAATCATTATCTTTTTCATAGAGCAATCTCATAAGCCATCTTGCACTCTTGAATGGCCCTAGAGTCGGGATTCTGTTTCACATTTTTCATCCTCTTGAACTACTAAAGGCACCAGAACACTTCCCACATGATTTGATATGTAGCTGATATCAAGTGTGTGGTGCCATTTACCGTGAGATGTCAAGCTTCAAATAAAAAGGGCATTACAGGAGATACAAATACTAGACAAATGTGAAGACATTGTTTCCCAAGCTCTACACCATTTAATGGTACTTTTCGGTGAGTTACAGTCAGTTAAAGAAATTAAAATTGAATCAAATTCACTATGATATCTCTTAGAGATAACCAAATCAGAGGAGGGCAAAGATTGCTAGCATTATTGGAAATTAGAAGGAACACTAAACGCTCGGGACGATACATATGACGAGAATATTCTTGTCATTCCAAGCAAACAACAACCGTATCCATTCCTGTGACCAGATGGTGGAGTGCCTAAAGCAACCTACTAACTCCGAATATGACCTCAACGCCAAGATTTTAAAGACTCCAAATGACCTCCCTTTTGAAATCTGTTCCCCTTCTGTGGTAATCCAAAATGGCTAATTAAAGTCCACCAGGAAAGGTATTAAACTACAGAGTTTCTTAAACTCGAAAGCAAACCTAGAACAAAAATAAATAACCAGTTCTATCCCCTGTACATGCACAACTGCAGCTGATTGAAAGTCAGTTTAGAAAGTTTCATCTAGGACAACCATTGCAAACAAGTATTACGAGTTAGTAATGTATCCCAGTATAAAGTTCTGTCTGTAAGGAGAACAACTGCAAGTTTCATACTGAAGTGCACAGTGCAGCTTCAAATAGCCAGTAACTTCCTGAGCAACATATCCTATTAAATTGAGACTTCAATGAGAAAAGGGAATAAACACCACAAAATTCATTTCTCCATCTTCTTTTGTTGACAAACCACAAAACAAAGAATAAAAAAAGGAAACAAAAATCTAGATGGCACTTCAAAACAAGGCATTATCACAATTCAAATTAGTTTAAGCTCTTATAACGGCGGACTCTAAAAGCTATTTCTCCACTAGTTCACTATAATCAATAAGCAAATCCATCTTCCTTCAGAAATTACTCAAATTAGCAGCAGAATCTCAAATTTTCTTCAAGCAAAGAGTAATAAGCATAAAGTAAAGCATACCGAGCGATTTCACGGCCGATACCGCTAGTAGAACCAGTAACGATGCAAGTAAGGTCATTAATAGGAGGAAGAGGCATAGGATTCTGCAAATGACTGGCTAATATCCTTTGAAAAAGCATCTCGTAAACCAAATAGAACCATCCTCGTAACCATTCCATCCATCCTAATGCTTTCTTCTTCGCCGTCTTCAATGGCTGCTTAGCTTCACTAGAAGTTGTATTCTTCTTCTTCTCCGCCTCCTCGTTCGCCATCTCCTTTCTCGTTGATTCTAAGCTAAACAGATTCTCTCCCTCGCACCTCACTCACTTTGCTCCGCAACTGTCGTTAGTGATGTTTACCTTTCCTTTTTCTATTAGTATTATATATATACGAAGTTTTTGTCATTTTCTTTCGCTCTCACGGGACTCGTATAAAGAGAGATGGACCGTATAGATCCGTTCCAACCACTCTTTATTTTTGTGGTTGACCTCATATGTGTGATGAGATTTGAAATTGTTTAGCACACCACCTCTTTATTTTTAAAAGAATAAGTAAGATCCTCATTCTGATATAAACGATCTTTTTGAGCGTGATTTGATAATAAATTAAGTAGAAGAAATTTTTTAATCTTGTGATCTTAAATTAAAAATGTATCAAAATATTCTTTAATTTTATGAGTGAAAAGTTATAATTAAAGAATTGATAAGAAGAGAATGATATGTTTTTTTAAATGAACTAAAATAACAAATAGAACAAACAAATTAAAGCAAAAGGAGTAATGATAACAATAAAAATGGCGCTGACCCACATATATGGATCGATCTTGGTGCTGTATCATATGACAATGAAATTATGGACAGACTATGGAGAAATTGGACATAAAGTCAAAATAGTCGTTGGCCAAGGATTTATCCCTCATCTCCCACACCTAACACTATTATTTCCACATATTTGGTGCCCCATGGATTTACTCTCATCTCCAAGTTTTGGGTACGTCACCATCTCACTGGAGTGTGATTTCGGCTTCTTAGGAGCTAAAGGTTGTTTGATAGTTGATTTAGAAGTGATTTATACATGTATTAAATTCTGCATAAATAATAACATGTTTTATAGTTGCTTAGGAATTTAGCTGTTTCATAAATAAAACTAATAAAATAAATAACTGATCCCTACCTAAAATAATACACAAATTCTCTGCCTTCCAGACAACACCTAAAATTGTCTTACGTTTCGACAAAAAGTTGGCACAGGCACGGGGTTAAAGGGGGGTGCGTCTTCCCCAGATCTGCCAAAAGCAATCAATTGTCACATGCAAGAAATGGCATAACATCAGTTGCACAACTAGTATAGTTTGAGAGATGAGAGTGGGGGGGCGCAACAGTCATGGTTGGTAGCTGACAAGCATGGTTAAAATGATATTAATGTGGAGTTATACTCGACCAACAAAAACTTGGAAAAATATACACTTCCTTTGGCGCTAATAGTCAAGCCATCAACTAACACAGGAATGGAGAGGAGCCCGGATCTTATGTCATGAATAGACATTCATACAACAATCAAAGCATTTGGTTCAATGAAACCATGTCAAATATTTTACCTACATCAACATACACACACTAAATGAAAGTCAGGGCCATGCAATTCTGTCATTCATGAGATAACATGGTTTCAATTTGCATCTGGTGAACGCGTACAAGATGCCACCAACTTTCCTACGCCAACACAAGAAATTATTTCCCCCTACATAGAAAAAAACCATGAAATAAGTAAAACAGCCGTAACATCCCCCTCCTTATCACCCCAGGTGGAGGTGGGGGAGACTTGGAAAGAAAAAAGATCATAACAAGTTAACAACAGATAAGATATAATCGCTATATTTGTTTATAAACTGTGATTTTACGTGCATCAGGAAAATAGAATAACAATGACATACGTGTTCATCATCAGAGTAATGTTATCGCCTTTCAGAAGAATCCGCCCTGCATAAAACCACAGAGGAGATGAAAGTTAGTTCCTCTGGAAATTATGGGAGAGGGTATAAAGCTAGAGTCAAGGCAATGGTCACCCACCCAACTGCTTGCTGGTTTTCTTCTTCACATTAACTTCCTCAGCATCGTCCAGAACTAAATTCATGTACTCATCAAAACCCTAAACAAACACAGACAGATTTACCTATTAGTCAATAAGTACCAGACAAATCACTGTTAAACTGTGTAGAGCAGCAGCATGGAAGGATATAGATACAGGATGCAAATGAGTGAGGTACCTAGCTTGATGACTTTACTAGCCAAAAGGATGCAGGTGATGCAAGAGGCAAAACCAATATTCAATTCTTTTGATTTATCCCAAAGGAAAAAGATGCAAAAACGCAGTAATTCAAGTGCATCCATTTGAACTCATTTGCTCATTTATGAGTGTCAATCATTTGCAAACAACCTTCGTCAAAAACTACTTCACACAATGACCAGAAACAGAAAAAGAGCTGCTTCTTAAGATTTGACCAATACAGGTACATGACACCAAAAAGTTAATTCAAAAAACTTTTTTGTGCATATAATGCGCAACAACTGATGATCCAGCTATTTCCCGGAGTCTAAACATATCTAATCCCTGGTTGAGAAGCAGAAAACAATTTATAATCCAGATTATTCTTTCGCATCCAGAACCAGCTTAAGAAATCCAGTATAGATTTTTTCTTCGTAAGGTAAAGAGAAATCCCAACTATGGATTATTCAAAAAGAACAAATATCAAGGTCTATAAGAGTTCAAACCGAAAACCTTTCAAGTTGGTATATTTTCACATTCACATCCAAGGTAAGCTTTTGCTTTTTTTTTTTAATAAGAGACTGTAAAATCTTCCAAACAAAGACTATTATAGTACAAACCTTTATATGTTAGGGTATGTACATCGGAAGATCTACAGAGCCAGAATAGATTTGGTGACTAAATTATCCCTAATGATCACAGGAAACTTACAGGGGCCCGGGGTTACAGAACAAAACACAGCACTAAATATTACAATTACAAGGATGAAACATATATACATGCTTCAATTATCAGGAAAAAAATTCAAAACTTAAAAAGCCAGCAAAGGAGCAAAATTTACAGCATAACAACATTTACACAGCTTGCAGAAAATACTCCTCCATTCAATTTTATGTGATACGCCCTCCTTATTAGTCTGCTCCAATAAGAATGGCACCTTCCTAAATTTGGAAACAATTTAACTATTCTATTTACCCCTTAATTAAGGCATGTTGTTATAGCCATACATATGCCACGGCAGGTTTTAAGACCACAAGTTCCAAAAGTCTTACTTTCTTGAACTCTTAAGTTGAGTCAAACACAACATAAATTAAAACATAGAAATTTTTAAAATGACCCAACCATCACAAATCTGCACAAACTAACAAAACATCAAAGTGATTGGGTTCATATTCACTAGTCAAATCCTAGAGGTCTTATGATACAAATCTGCTCACTATACAAGCTCTGTAAAACCAGGCAACAAATAATAATGAAGATATGTCAGCAACTATTACAGTAAAAATTTGAGTGACTAATTCTTTTAGAATGGTAAGGTTGTATAAATGAACCCCAAGATTGTGCGAACAATTACATTAAATTCAGTTCCTTAACAATTACTGTAGGGAAGTGAGAAAATCTAACATCCTGTCAACTGTATTAACATATTCTAGTTTTACACTTTACACCAAAAACCCAAAAGGGAAATACATCTGAACTTCAAAAGTTGGAACGTTTCATATTTGCTCTCAAACTTGAATTACTAATTCAAACTACTCAGACTTACGTCCATCCCAAAATCAAGCTACAACTATCAGTGCCATAAGAAACTAGAATTATGTCGACAGAAAAAATAAAAAAAAGTTAGGCCTTGCTTTGCTCTAACAGGAACAGCAGAACTATCCAGGCATACATCTTGTGTAGAAGGACCCAAATGACAGATTGTGAGCCCAACATGCACTGGCAATACATATACATAATCATGAGCTTGCTACAGCACACACGAGATTTCCATGACAGTCTTTTTTCATCCAGTATATTCAGTATGACTTTCTAGGCATACTTGACGGATAAAAGGAACTAATATGGGTTGTTAACAAATATGGACTACCAAAATTTCTATCATGAATTTACTAAAAGCATGCACCAGATTTTTTATTGGCAACTGATAATTACTGCAAGATGGTTTGGGCTCAGAGCTGAATCCATCAATACAAATGAAGGTAATATGATTTTTGAATACAAATTTGGTGAAAGAATGTATTTAACTTGGAAAATATCTAAACTTCCATAAGCTGGATGCTTAGAATCCCCCAACCATAGAATTTGACATGGAAATTGTTTTTTTCTTTGTTTCTCTTTATTTTTCTCTTTGTACTGCCTTCCAGTTTGTTGGAAAATTTAATCCACATTTATAACCAAATCTTCACTTTTTTTTATTGAGAACTCCATTACAAAAACTAAGTCCTTCCACAATCTACTAAATTGAACATAGCACATAATAACTTTGTATAGACTCTTGAAAGCTTTACTAAAGATCAAACCTATCGTACATCTAAAGAAGGTATTTGATTACAGATAGTTAACCGGTGTTTTCAACTAGTCATCAGATATTACTAGTCCAAAGATTAGCAGAAAATGCAAACATGGAATCAGTAAAGAAATTAGAAGTTCAACATAGAAGAAAGTGAGGACCAAAAAGCTTTCACCAATCACCGCTAGCTTATTAAGGAAATACATGTCCCTATTTATATGGCAAACCACACAAGACAAAGAGTCAACACTGGTGTTTCCCTCTTTGAATCCTAGTGATGCAATAACCCAAACCTCAAGTTGGAAATGAATGGTTCTACGCCTCCTTATAAATACAAGTCATGCCAATTGCCAGACACGAACTTTATGTTACAAATTTCTGGCACCTATTACACATTAAGCTAGAACCTACATAATTCCAAACACCCAAAAGAAAGTATGCATTCTAATAGCTAGAACTGTTGGTACATAGTTTACATAATTACAAAAAGGATCTCTGAAGTACCACATATCTTCAGGAACTTTATAAATCCGTATAATTTAATTTTTCTGATAAGTAGCATAAATGATTAGACCTACAAATTAATGGCAATTCACATTCATAGTGGTTGATGGATTACTCTCCACTCCACCAGGTCAAGAGTTCAATGGTGGTATGGCGGAATACGTGATCGGATGATTAGAACTAGAAGAGGCACATGATTTGTCTGTGCTATTACTCAAAAGATAACTTAGGAAACTCCCTTTATTAAGGGAAACAGTGGCGATTTAGAGTGTGAAACTGCAGGGAGATGATTAAATGAGTAGTTAAT